CTCTCTCTCTCTCTTGTTGTCTTATCTTTTCACAGTTTAATTCATCTTTCATTACTTCCAGATCATGGAGGGGCGTAAGAATGGCCTGTGGAACACACGTCTCCCCATAGAGTATAAACAGCAGTTCAATGAGGCTCCTCCCCCAGACCTGATGGACAGAGTCCAGAGCTGGACAGATTGTGTCAAAGTGGAGAGGTTAGAAAGTCTGTGTGTGTGTGTGTGTGTGTGTGTGGCTCCATTCCCATAGATTTTAGATCGATCTATCCCCGCGGGGAGTCTCACTAGATTACTTTCAGATAATCCGGCTTAAATGTCCGTCCCGCCTACTACAAGCTGTAAGAGGGTAATTAACTTTCGTGTCCCCCCGGCTGACAGCTATTTAGCGTGAACCCCCAGGGAGTTAGGTCGATCTAAAGTAGGTCGATCTAATCTATGGAAATGGGGTGTATGCGGCTGCGTGTGTGTATCTGTGTATGTGTGGCTGTGCGTGTGTGTGCATGTGTGTATGTCTATTTTTGTATGTGTGTGTGGTTGTATGTGCATGCATGCTTATGTGCATAGATGCATGATGTTTTTGGTATGTACATACATGTACGTGTATTTGTTTTAATATACTTTGATTTCTCATAGAGGGGTAAGTAGATGTAATACGAACACATTTCATTAACGAACATAATTCATAAACATTCCAGTTGGCACAAGCTTCAGTAAGCAGCTCTAAACCTCTAGTTGTCTGTTCTTTCAGTGTGATGTGAAAAGACTGAAAGATAAAAACTCACTAGCAACATTGCTGGTGGTACAAGCACTAGGAGGTGACTCGCACCTCTCTAAACTGACAACTTTTACTGTACTTTCAGTGTGGTAGGAACAGATAGGAAAATACTGTACCCAGAGATGAGGAGACTTTATGCAGTATCACCAACCCCTGAATCAAGTGCCAAAGATTCTGAAAAGGTAGAAATAGTCAACCAGTAGAACATGGAACATGTCTAGTTAACCTTGATGAATCCTGGTTGTGTTCTAAAGATATAATGTGAAGGTAGAAAGAGCTGAATTTAGATTTGAAGCTATTTATTTCTAGAACACCTGTTTTTATTTTAAAAAATATTATTGAACAAGGTATAGATATTGGAGATATACTTTTGATAGCTTTATCTGGTAAATTGTGTGCTCTGATTCCTTTCATTCATGACTTGCGAAAAAATGTTCGCAAGTCACCTGTTAGCAATAAAACCTGTATAAAACTGACCAGTAGATTCCCTGAAGGACTGCCTGTTGAAAAAGAAATGTTCAGTATTTATGAAAATATTTATGAAAATATTTGATAATTCTTTACAGATTTTTTTTTTTTTTTTTGTTGTTGTTGTTGTAACATTAGTTGTTTTTTCCTCTTTGCAGTTACAATTTGTAGGTCCACTTTTTATGTAGAAAAGAAAGATACATGAAAAGTGATATTTATGAAATACAAGCTGAAATCTGCAAAATAATATTTAGCTCCTTGCATATTTCAGAAAGAAAAATTGAGAATATTGCCGCCAGTCCTTCCAGCACTTGGGTAGGTTTAAAAATCTAAGTAAATATGTTGAAATTTCTTTATTTTTTAAACCACAATTAATAGTCTTCTTCATGGAGTTGACATAATGAATGTTTAAAAAAAGCCATTTAAACACTGTTTATGGTGTTCATTGGATATTAAGTTGATAAGTTGGAAAGTGGCATTTCATGATGTTTTAATGTCGTGGAGAAGCAAAATCAGTAATTATTTCCATCCACTTAAGGTTGCTGTAATAATTTAATTTAAATATTTTTTCTTAACAATTAAGCAATTAGATTTAAAAAATATTTTAGAATGAATTACTTTTATTTTTTCAGTTGTGTATTTATTCCATTTAATTAATTTATTTAATCTTTTAGGACAGACATCTGTGTCTGTGTAACCCATGTGAAGTCCTGCCAACAGTTTTTTGTCACCAGAACTGGGCCTCAAGTAGCTGCAGTGCATTCTAAAGTCCAGGAAGTTTGTAAGGTAAAAATGATAACGTAAATTTTGTACAAAATGTTTTCAGTGGCCTCACATATGAACATTTTCTAGATCTCCTTGAGGCAAGTGCCAAGAGTGAACTTTCCCAAGGGGAGAAATCAAGCTGCCTTGTATATCAGGCATATATAAATTAAACATTTCAATTAAAAAAAAACATATTCATATTCATATATTATGTGTTAAATTTGTATATATTCAGTACTGTCATGGAAATAAATCTATTTAACTGTTTTCATACAAACATTTTAATTTGGCTAAAAAAAATTACATGATATAATTTCAGGCCAGGGAGAAAGATAAAATAGACAATTTAACACTTGGTGCCCACTGTTTGTGCAAATACCAAGATGGCAACTGGTACAGAGCTCAAGTGGCCAAGATAGAAGAGGAAGGGGTATGTAAAGCAGCTTTTTAGAAATTGAAGGTTGGTTTTGACTTTGGGCGTCTTCACAGTGAAACTGTCGTACTATCAAGTTCTATTTCTCCTGAGTGCTCTCAGATAACAGATTAACACGCTTCCTCCTGGAATTGAGTAGAATAAAGAAAAGCTGGTGATTACAGGGGCGGATTGAGACCTTTTTCTGGGTCTTCCGGGAGAAGGTCAGATTTTTAAATTTTATTTGACGGGTCTCCAATTTTTTTTCTGTCAGAAGACAGTCAAAAATGGAGGTTGGAGCAACAAAGATAATTTCGAAGACTATCAGAAAATATCTCTGGATCAACCCCTGAATTATACGAGTACCTTGGAAGCAGGAAGAGGCATGTTGATCTGTTGATTTGAATGCATTCAGAGAAAGTCGCCCGCAGATTTATCTCAAACATTCACATAGGTAGTTTCATTGTGAAAACACCCTTTGAGATGGACAGTTTTGTCCATTTTGACCAATGTTCATAGTAAGGAAATATAGTGTCTGTGACCAAAAAACAAAAATAAAATAGAGAGATGGCAGTTATCATAGGAAGCAGGTAGTGGTAATCTTCATATATTTAGCACCAAATAGTCTAAGAAACTGATGTTTTAAATTGCAGTTATTTATTTTTATTAGCTGTGGTTACTGGCTAGCACTATATCTAGTTAGAGTTTGTCTCTTTATTTTCATTTATTGAAACTTTTATTGGTGATATTTATCTATCTATTTTTAAATCTATTTTATTTATTTATTTATGTTTATTTTTATGTTATTTTTTATTTATTATTATATCCATTAACAAGTGCTATTATTATCCATATTGCTATTTTCCTATACCCCCTATTATATCATTGAAGGTGACAGTATACTATGTAGACTTTGGCAACATGGACACCGTCCCCCTTGAAGATCTCCGGTCACTGACTCCTGAACTGACCACTGAGCCAGCCCAGGCTATCAGGTGCAGAATTAGTGGACTTGAGCCACTCAAGGTAAGTCTAAGTGGACATATCACTGAGGCCACATTCAGAATAGGGGACTAATTAGTCCGAGGATCAAAAATGGCGACCTATTAGAGAGCTAATCTGCTAACAGACACTGAATAGATATCCTGCGGGGAAGTTTTCAAGTGGGTCGGCCATATTTGAACCTCTGACTAGTAAGTCCCCTATTCTGAATGGGGCCTAAGTGGACATATTACCAACCAGTGGCAATGCTGACCAACAGGTGCTCTATCAGTAGACTTAAGCCTATGTGTACACTTGTACAGTAGATAGTTGTTGTAAAATAAACTACCACAAAAGTACTGTATCTGATCAGAATGTGTATTCTACCAGCTTTAATTCTAAAGGTTATCACCTGTTTTAACAAATTTATTTTTATTTCTGTAGCCTTCCTGTGATGAAGAATTCTCAAATCTAGTCTTAAATGAAGAAGTTAAGATGACAGTTAAAGCACATGAAGGTGAGTTAACAAATTGCATATTTTTATTTTTGCACATCCACTTTCTTCCGCGTTCATTAACACCCCCTCCCCTACTCAAACCACTTTTCTCCCACCCCTCCCTTTCTCAAATCTCCTCCCATTCCCCTCCCTTCACACCCCTTTCCTTTTACCCCCTCCCCCTTCTCAAATCCCCCCCCCCCCCCCCATCCTTCCAACTGTTTTATTTGATATTTACAAGTATCAATAAAAATTGATCATTCTCTGAATTCAAGCAAAAGTGATGTCCCATTATAATTCAAGCTAAAGTGACAGATGTGTCATTATAAATTTATTTCTCCAGACCACGACTGTATAGTAGAGTTGTTCAGCAAACATACCAGCCAGTCTGTAACAAGCTGCTTGGTTCAGAAAGGCGTTGCAAAGAGCACAATAGTGTACCATGTTCCAGATCCAGGTAAAGCTTCAGGGTTGTAGTCAGAAGTCGCAGTTCTATTTCAGTTGTGACTGTTTGACTTTGATGTTACAGTAGGGAGTTTTCTGTTGACGCTGGGTCAGACAAAGTGCTGTGGAAACTTGCCTTAAAATCAGTTTAGCACATGACTTGCCATGACTTGCAGAGTGATAAGATTGACTAAATTGTGGTGAGGCATTTACATTTGTCGAGTTGGTGGGACAATTAATGGATAAGATTGACCTTTGATGGTTAGATATTAATGGCTATTTTATTAAGTGTTTGGGACTAGATTATGAAGTAGATTGCCTTCTTGACATTAGATATTGATACCAATTTAGTGAAGCGGGTTGGGTGATAGTAGGGTCACATTAAGAACTAGATTACCTTACCAATTTCAGAAATTGATAATAATTTAACTTAGTGTTTGGGAGTAGATTATGAACTAGAAATTGGTAGAAATTGATTGATTGGTAGATGAGAAATTGATATTATTACCTTCCAGCTCCCATACAGCTGCCCTCGGAGTGCTTCTGGGACGTCTATGTGACACATGTCTGTACAACTACTGACTTGGTGATAAGACTGGTTGGTCCAGAATATTCTGTAAGTGTCTCAGATTTAAAGAACATGTTATATTTCTGGCTTTTAAAATATGTTATATTTGTAAAAAAAAAAAAAAAAGGGGGGGGGGCAGTAAGTTGGTCCAGTATATGCAGTTTGATGTTATATTATGATCTTAGACATTTGAAATATATGTAAAATATATAAATAGGCAAGTGTATGCGCATTGTTATAAGAGAGCTTCCTGGATGCTAAACATTTTTTTGTATGTCAATTGTAACCTTTTTCATCCATTCATAAGAATGTGATTGCAAGTGTACAATAATTAACCATAGTATCCATCCATTATTAAGATGCATACTGAAGAATATGGTTTTTATTCACAGGAAAAATTAGAACAGCTGGAGTCAGCGTTGGAGAGCCAGTGTTCCCAGTGTGGTCCAGTGTCTGCAGTGGTAGAGGGTGAGGTGTATGGGGGGCTGTTTGAGGCTGACGGCTGGCACAGGGTCAGGGTGAAGTCTTCTGATGGAAAACAGGTACAGAGAGAGAGAGAGAGAGAGAGAGAGAAAAGATGGGAAAGTATGTGTGTGTGTGTGAGAGAGAGAGAGAGAGAGAGAGAGAGAGAGAGAGAGAGAGAGAAAGGAGAGAGGATATGGGTAAGGAAAAAGAGAGAGGAGGGAGAGAGATTTGTCACCTGAGACTACTAACCTCAATATATTCTTTATCAAAATCAAATAGATACACACATATATTTCCCTTCTGCTTTCTTCAGGTGGAGTGTGTTCTAGTAGACCATGGGGATACAGAGACAGTTGATATTGGTCAGCTATGGCCACTGACCGCAGAGCTTAACACCAGACTAGCTTACCAGGTGGTGATATAAACTTTTATTCTTATACACAGTGATGTAGTTTTTTCATTGTCTCTAGATTAAATATGGCTAATAAAGCCCAGTTTACATGTGTTTGGTCTCATGAAGGGTCGGTTTTCATGCAACATAGGTAAAAATAAGGTTATAGCATTATGGCTCACGTTTACAAAAATGTTTTCTCTCTTTAATAAATTGGTTAACATTTGTAATAGTCATATGTTATTATTGTTTTGTCTATTAATTAATTTATTTATTAATCCATTTATTGTACCACCAGCGTTAGCGCTGGCGGTACACATGGTTTCGGTCCCGTCCGGATCGTTCCGCCGGCTCCGTTGG